GTCAGGTTGCCTCGTGGGCTTGGTGATAAGCGGTAAACCAGCCCGAGGGATAAAATATTGTGAGAATCCAGAGATGCGTTGTGAATGATTGAATGAATGAAGGACGGCATGAAACGTTAGCATCTAAGCAACTGTCTTTGTAAGTTAGGTTTGCTTGGGACAATAAATTACATAACAACCAATGATTCGTTAGTTCGAAGGAAAGAATTTAATTCTTTTTAAGTAAGATTTTAAATTTAAATAAAATTTTAAATTTAAGTCTTATTAATAATGAAACAAACATTAAAAAAGCTTCTCTCTTGTAAGATTCGATATGACTTGATTTTGTGTTATAGAGTCTAATATAACTTGATTTTATATTATTTAATACCCAATGTAATTATCATATATTAAGAAGTTAGTATAAAAAAATAAACTAGGTAATTTGTCAATTTATTCCCAGATCAACAAAACATAAATTAACTGGTGGCCGTTGATGGGATGGCCAAAAGAACTAGCGTAAGCTTTTGAAACAGTAGGGATATACATAATATACAAAAGAAGTTAAAATCAAGAGGTTGACATTTTTTGTGTCACTGGTAGAATAACAACATTTGTCCCTCAACTTCTATTTATATTTCCTTTTAACTTAGTTGAACTCCTTAACAGATTGAGATACCCGATCTTAATCAACTACTTTTCTTCACTTCTTATTAGGATTCTAAATCCTAAACCTTTTTTTTTTCTCCTTTTAAAATTGGTTAATTCAAATAATACATTAAATAACAAAAAAATACCATAACATAAACTCATAAATTCAAAAGAATTCAACTAAATTAACCTCCATATCACATAATTATTTATAGAGATTATTTTAAACATGAGAAAGAGAAAAGGATTAAATAGTGATTAATATTAAATTTATTATCTAAACATTAATTTGTAATCTTATTAGACCACTAGGGATAGATTTGCACTAAACAGAATTACTAAGGGACCAAAAAACAGTTTTCTTGTTAATCATCTCCAGTAACCATCAAATATGTTTCACAACATAAAACTAGATTTTGATTGAATCGACAACTGCCCAGTTTATATCACCAAACTAGTGAACCATTCCTTAGTCTCTACAGATCTTTTTCAATTGATCTCAATTGATATTACTAAAATTTTAATAATCACACATATTATTTGGTTACCCACGAATTGAGATTTCTTTAAAATTATAATAATGATTTTAACTCAATTCATCATCACAATGATTACTTTCTGCATATGCACAGCATACCACAACTCCAAATCTATATGGATTTAATCCAAAACTTGCTCTCTAATATAGCCAAACAGTTTCATACCTAGTATGAATAAATATATCAATTTTGAAATCAAAGATTTTAAGTTAACTCAACAATGGTTATTTTAAGAACCACTTACAAGTTAGTCTTCTTGGATTCTAAATCTACATATAACCTGCTCTAATACCACAAGTTGAAATTTTAAGGATCAACATATAGAATTTAGGATACCAAAATCTGATAAAATAAATACATTGTGTATTTGGATCTCTTTAATCAACATATTACCTAAGAATTTTCAAGAATCATCATAATTAGGGATCTCATGACAAAATTTACAAAACAAATATAGTTAGTATTGGGATTTAAGTCTTCCTCTCCCTAATCAACTTCTGTATAGTGACAACTGATGGGTCATGTCACTCCCTAACTCTACTATTTATAAAGGTAGGGTTTTCTGAATGAAAGAGGGGACCTAACCCATTATAATAATCTTTTGGACACCCTCGTTAAGTAGCCCGCCTTTATTTTCAGACTTTACACTTATTCATATCACACCATATAAAACTGAGATAAAACCTAGACTCATTTGGATCACATTACTTTATTGGGCTTTACCAGTTTTTCCATTTGACCCAATTTTTGAAAACCAAATACAATTAGCAATAGTCCACCTAAAAATTTCCAACATATATAACTTGTTGAGTCAAATAGACAAATTTAATATGGTAAGATATAAAAATTTAGAGTTCATTTGGTATAATAGTTTAGAAGTAATGATTAATGATTTTATCCAAATTGTTATAGAATAAGTATTTGGTAAATTTTATTTATTTTAAATCCGCTACAAACTAAGTATTTAATGAAATTTTTTATTTAATAGTTTGAATCATAATGACTATTGTCCCAAACAACTAGTTAATTGGAATTTCTTAATTTTATTAACAAATTTATCCATTTTAATTTTTCAATTTTTTACCATGGTATTTAAGTACAATTTATTTAATTAGTTTCAATTTCATTTTTTTCTCTAATAATATTAAGTGATTATTATATTTTTATTTGTTACATTAATTTATCATCAAAAAATTCATATTAACTATATAAAAAATTTTGTTAATTAGATGAAATAATTAAAAGTTTTTTAATTTAAAAATAATATAATTTATTCTTTGTTTCTTTTGTACGATTTGTAAAATGAATTCTATTGTGGATGTTTTGGTATTTGGGTAGTGCTATAAGGACAATCGTCTTATACCACCTTTTGATACAATTTGCACATATCATTAAATGAGTAGATATATTCAATAACATGAATCCCACATGAATAAAAAAAATTAATTATTTAAATGACACATCAAATTATACCAAAAAATAGTACCAAAAAGTTATCCTAAAATTATTTTCCTTCGGTATTTGGCCAAGATTGGTGGGAAGAGTTCATGATTTGGCACCCATGTATTGCTGATCTAATCACGGGCTGCTAACATGGGAATTTGTGGGGGCCATTCAATGTAATTCAAAAAAAATTATAAAATAATAAATGGGTTGAATTTTAACAATAAAAAAAACGTTAATCAATGAGAGTTAATAACGGTGTTGGTTAAGGGAAGTAACCATTATGAAAACTTAAAATGGAGGGAGGACAATAGTATGTTCTGAAATAGTAGAAGGAGGCCTTTGAGCGATTTCTAAATGCAGGCAAAACAATGAATAAATTGAAAGTAGAGGGATCATATTTGGCTTTAACCCAATAACTTAATGCTTCGCGCGAACCCGCGCGAATGGGAAGCCGGTCAACGACTCAACCTTGGCTAACGGGCACTTTCAGCAGGGAGTTTTTGGTTGGGAAAACTTTATCTTAAATTTTTAAAATTTTTTTTATATAAAGTCATCTATTATTTTATATGTTAATATTATAATAAAAAAATAACTTTTTATTTTTTATTTTTAACCCTATTTACAATTTATAATTTTTTTTATAATTTTTTGAAAAAAAAATTTCCTTTAATTTGTGGTTAAAACCTTATTTTGGTCCTTAAACTATTATATGAATCCCCGATTTAATCATTAAACTTAAAAGATTCTTGATTGGGTGTTTAATGTTTACCATTTTAACCCCGATTCAGTTCTTTCATTAAAAATTTCGCATTAGGTTCCATCGAACTTAAGTCAAGGAACCTAGGGGTAAAATATATATATATATATATATTTTTTGGGTTTTGTTGTTTGATGATGATGAAAAATTGATTGATGAAGAAGGCAAGGCAAGAAAGAGGAAGGAGAAAGAAAGGGTGACTGTTAGGTTCGATTGAACCCAAGCACTTCTATTTTTTTGTGCATGATGATGATGATGATAAACCCAACAAGGGTAGAAATTGGCTGAAATGAATAGATTGGTTGAGATGTTAGGATTTGTAAAAGTTGAAAAAGGGAAGCGAAAATAGAGGAACGAGAAAAAAATTTTGGGTGGGATGAGTTGGAATGGCCATATCATCTATTTTTGCCAACTTGTCAATTTTTGTATGACAGTAATGCTTCTTTTATTTTCGTTTGTCAATTAATGTGAAAAATTAACGGAATGACCAAATTTGGGTTGAAATGGTAAACAGTAAGGATCAAATTTGAGATTTTTTAAGTTTAGGGAGCAAATTAAAGATTCATATAATAGTTCAGAGACCAAAATAAAATTTTAACCTTAATTTTTTAATGTAAAATTCACTTGATAACTTTAATATTAATTTTTTATATTAATTTTTTTATCAAATACAAAAAATTAATAATTTAATAAAATTCTAACAACACTTCATTTATAAAATTTATTAATTTTTTATATAATACTCTCTTAATAAAATTAATTCTCTAATCAAACATATTCTAAATTCTTCGTCGCCACAAGACACAACTGTACCAGTACCGACTTCCTTTTTCTCCCCAATATTTATTATATTAATCCCCATGGTGCCCCAGCCTCAAACTCACTGTTAACTGAGAATAGAAAACTCAACAATGGATCCATGGAGTTGTAATCAAGGTGGAGGTGGTGAAGACGAGGAGAACAGGCAATCCATCAATGGAAGTTGTAAGTGTAATTTAATAACACTTTAATTGCTTCGAAGCTAATCAAATTAAGTTTCTTTTACTTACATGGCGCTCTCGCTTGGATTACATCTTGAGTTTCTCCTCACCCTTTTTACTTACAGTATAACTCTATCCTTAATCTATAGCTGCAGTAAATACCGATCAATTTGTTGAAGTTGTGCTCCGGAGCAGTATATAGCTCCATAGATCAAAGCAGAGAGCGAAATCTCAGTGAGCCAGCAGCCGAAACAGAGCCTGTGGGGCAACAAAAATCAGGTGAACGTCAACCCACAGATCTATCCTCTGCAGATTCTCATCATTCGAAAAGAAATATTCCGGATGATACTGCTGCAGCTGACCCGCGTGCCAAAAAAAGAGCATACGATAGAGCTTATAGGGAGAGACTTAAGGTACGTACGTACTGGTCTTTTTTTAAGTGGGAAAATCAGGCAAATCCTAGGACTATTTATACTCCCTTCTGTGGGCTAGTTAAAATATAAATTTTAAAGTTTTAGCTAATATATAAATTGATACTTATCTTTGTTAAATTTTGGCTTTGTGTTTTGATGTATAAGTGCTTCTTGTATGCTTAGAAAAACCAAGAGCTAACGAAGTCCAAAGTGGAGACACTTGAGGGAGAAAATGAATTCCTGAAAGAGGAAAATGAATCCCTAAGAAGGGAAAATGAAATGCTATCAAAGGAACTTGATGAATTGAAAAAGAAGCATGATAAGCACCATGTAAGTCTTGATTTGCCCCTAACCACAAGAACTTATTATTTTAAATACTTATACAAGTATCTTTTAGTTTAACATATTCTATAACATGTTTATTAAAAAATTATTATTTTTTAATTTAAAATTATAATTATGCATGTAGTATAAAAAATCAATTAAACTGACTGTACATATATTATATTTTAATTATTAAACCAAGTATTGATATGTGTTAAACTAAAAAGTATATTATTTTCCTATTATTTTTCTTTTTGATCTTCAAGTCTTGAATTGTATTATATGGTATGTTTAGGAAAATGAAGAGGAATTGAAGTCCAACCTCAAAACAATTGAGGTTGAAAATGAATCTCTAAAAACTGAAAATGAAACTCCGTTCAAGGAACGTGACGAATTGAAGAAGAAGTACCAGAAGCAATTGGTAAGTTTGCTCCTAATTAGATGAGCTTATTCAGCAATAAACTAGGAAATAATTTTGACAAATTAAACCCCAAATTCATCTATAAACTTCTATGTTTGCCGCTGATTAACATTGCTATTTTTCTATTTGTTCTTTAAAATTTTATTATGGTATACATTCAGGAAAATGAACAGGAAATGAAGTCCAATTTGGAGACACTTGAGACTAAAAATGGCAAATTGAAGCAACGTGTAATTTAACAGAATTATTTTTGGAAATTATTTCTAGTTTTTAGTTTTCCCTTTGGTCCTTGAATAATATTGTGGTATGGTATGTTCAGGAAAGTAAACAACAATTAAGGTCAAATCTAAAGATCGCGAACGCTGAAAAAAGGGGACTAATGGATCGGATTTTTGAATACATGTTGGAGAATCGAAGTTCTGAAACTCAGTCAAACGAACTTGGCCAACTAAGAAGCAAAGTGGAAAATTTAGAAAACGAACTTGTAAGTCTCTCTACCTCTATTTGAAACCTACCATGTTTTTAGTGTTTTAAAAAGTGTTTTTCATGCATTAAAAATGTATTTTTAAAGTGGACTTATATATAGTAAAAGGAAAGTGCAGGATTGTCTTTAAACTTATTTAAATAGTTTTAAAGATGGTATTTAATTACGTAATTTTATAAGTATTCTTACATTTTCTTGTTATAAATTTAACTAAAAATCGGCAACTCTTTTACAATTTCTAAAAAAAATAAATATTAATGCATCGACTCTCCTTACAAATTTAATGTTAAAACAAGCAGGCCTCAACAAAAACTAGCAATCACAGGCAGAGCTTAGCTGGAAGCAACCCCAATTTCTTTGCAGGTTTTGGGCAAGATTTGCAGCATGTGGAAACAGAAGGTTCTATGCCCTGCAGTCCAACAGAAACGATGCTTCCCTCATCACCGGCCTTCCCCTGTGGTGCAACCAGTCCAACAATTGGGTCGCACTCACCTCCATCATTGGGCAGTTTTGAAGGTTAAGTAATCGTTAGGGGATGTTCGGTTAGAAAAACTTTTCTCCTATATCTTTTCTAAATTTTTTTTTTATATAAAATTATATATTTTTTTATACATTAATAGTTTAACACTATAACAAAAGAAAGGTAATTGTGATATTTTGAATTTTTATTATCTCAAATAAAATTATCAATTTGTAAATTTTTTTCTCACACTTTTTGGAGGAAAAATATTTTTTCCAAATATTTCCTACATAAGATCTATTTAATAATTTTTTATCAACTTATTTTATATTCATTTTTTATCAAATAAAAAAATTAACAAACAAATAAATTTACTATAAAATTTATCAACTTTTTATATATATTACGTATCAACTTTATATACAATATTTTTTTAATAAAATTAACACTCTAACTAAACTATACAGACTCAGAGTTGGGATTGCCTTCAATTTCATGAAGAATTCCAATTCCAATGATATTTGATTTTTCTCATTAGATTGTTACAGTACTTGATTTTCAAGGAAAACGTGTGTTCAAATGAGAGTTAATTTGCACAAGAACTTATAAGCTACTTAGTAGGTACACTTAATGTTCTAATAATAATTAAAATTTAAATTATAACTCTCCCTTATTATAATTTTTCATCCCTTATCTCAAATTATACTCAATTAAAAAAAATGAGAGTTAATTTAAATCTTACATAACATAAACTATTCAACATAAACTATTCGGTTGAGGATCCCTTGATTCGAGGTCACAATTTTATAGTTACTTTATTACAGTTAGACCACAAAATGCTGAATTAGAATTTAGAAACTGAATTCTTGGTACCAAGGCTTCCCTCGTCTCCCTCCCCTCCATTAGCCTGAGTTTGAATTGGGGAAGTTGGAAGGGAAGGGAAGGAGAAGAAAAGAAAGATATCTCCTTCTTATATTTGAGTTATTGATTTTAATAAAAAAGAAAAGAGATAGAACCTTCTTTACTTTTTTTGTTATCAATTTCTCTAAATCAAAAGAATTAGAGGGGATTGGTTTTATATTTTTAATTTTTTAATTTTTTAAAAAATAAATATATAAAGATATTTTATATCATTTTTTTAATTAGTAACATTTTTAAATTTTATTCTATTTTATTTTTAAAAAATATTTAATTAAATAAAAATTTTATCTTTTCCTTTCCTTTCCTCTACCTTTTTTCTATCCAAATAAAGTTAATAGTAATAAGTTATTTCCCTTTAGTTCTCCTTCTGTCCCTTTCCTCCTCTTCTTTTCCTTCTATTTACTAATTTCTATTCAAACAAATATTTATAGAGGAAATCTCGAAGGGAGGCAGATATATTCTTGTCATTCACTCTCCTCCTCTTCCCCCTCCAAATTCCCCAATCCAAAGATGCTGTTAATGGTTTTGTTTCGTATTCTCGGTTACAAAATACTAAGTTCTCAACGGATAGATTTTGATTTTGATTTTTTTTTTTTTTATTTGGTGGTTAAGCTTTAGTTTAGATTGAGAAAGTTGGAGAAGGGAAGGAGAATAAGGGAGACATGCCTCTTCTTGTGCTTAGATAACTGACTTTAATAAAGGAAGAAAGAGATCACGGGAGATGTAACCCTCCTTATTAATCTATTTTTAATTCCTCCAAATTAAGATGCCTCTTTTTGTGTTTAGATAACTCACTTTAATAAAAGAAGAAGAAGATTGAGAGAGGTGTAACATTTTTTTGTTCATTTGTTTTTAATTCTTTCAAATCAAAGGAGTATAAAGAGATTGACGTTATATATATATATATATATATATTACATTTTTTTAAAATAAATATATAAATATATTTTATTTTAATTCCTCCAAATTAAGATGCCTCTTTTTGT